CCTGCCGTGGGAAGCATCCCGCGGGTTTCGGTAACCGTGCTCAATGGCTAACTCCCACATTTCCTGCCCAGGCTCGTGGCATCGCCATCTACAACTGAATGATTTCTTCTCTCCCCTTCCCTTGCAGCCTGATTATGTTTTGTCCTGCAAATCTCATTTTGGGCTAATTAAGGCTATTTCGCCTTCCCACTCTGCTTTCGTTGTTAATGCCTCCTGAATGGCCACAGCAGCCCTAGGTCCCCTCATCCGTTTTGGAAAAGGAGCTGGCTTGGGCAGTGTGGCCGTTTCTCCGTCCCGGCCAACGTCCCCCCGCCTGAGCGCAGCCCTCCCCGTGGTCTCACTTGCTCAGCCCACGGTTCGCCTCCAGTTGCTCCGAGTTTCCTACGTCCTTCACTCACAGGGCACAAACGGGTCTTTGAGAAGATCATGCAGCTCCTCTTCTCAGCATGGAGGGGGACAAAGCTGTGGCTTCGGTGCCACCACAGGGGCCGTGCCGAGACCCGTGCTGCCATCAGGTGCCGGTGGGCAAGCAGAGGGCATGGGCAGTGCTGGGACATCACCACAAACACACTGAGTATTTTCACTCCCAGCCGAGCTTCGCTTCCCACCTCCAGCCCTGCCTCTCCTGGAGATCAGAGCACCTTCAAAGCATGCAGGGGTGATGTTTGCAGAACGACTCAGACCAACTTGACCTGCTGCTAATAAATTCTATTACAGCAATAGCCAAATTTATATCATTAACGCCGGGCTATTTCCGTTTTCTCCAGGGAGTGCCCCCAGGTCACCGTTTTTCTGCCTTTTGCACGCACTGGCGCGTCTGTTCCTTGCAGGGACTGCCTCCGTAGGCAGGACGGCAGCGGGTATGCAGAGACACGTGCCGGGTTCCTGCTCTGCATGTCTCAAAGCAGCTCCAGTCCTTGCTGCCTTCTCTGCTCTTTAGGTTCAGATAATTCAAGTGACTGACGCAAGCCAGGAGCTAGGCTAGAAACAACTTGCATGAGGGTTGGGTGCTGCTGGCAGTCGTCGCCCAACAGCCCCAGGAGCTGGTGTTGAACCTGGAGTTCAGGGTGAGAGAAGGTAACGGAGCCGTGGCCGTGAGCTGTCACTCTCCTGCCCTCCGCAAAGCCCCCAGAGCCAAAGGGGACCCACGGCGGGCTGAACCCAGGGCCACGGAGGACTGGGACACTGACGAAGTAATAACCTTTTTTTTTTTTTTAATGTGGATGGCTCATGATTGAGCAACGCAATGGAGGAAGGGGTAAAGGGCAGCAAGCTGACTTTGCACCCAGGCCCGGTATCAAGCGAAACCCTCTGGGTGGGGAAGGCGAGGCACTGAAGACTTCCTGGCTGGGAACCCCAGTGAGCATCTCCGCTGTGTTTCCACCGTCGCAAAACAAGCAGCGTTGCCTAGAGCTGCGGTGAGAAAACGGTGCGGGGCCTAGGCTCAGCTTTGGAGGACCAGCACTTGGCTCACCCACAGCGCTCAGCGGGTGCTGGGGGTGCTGGTGTCCCTGCGGGCAGGCTCCTAGCACGCTGCCGTGCCCGCTGGGCACCCACCCCAGCTACGCACCACCCTGAGCCCCACCAGAGACCCTCTGTGGGGGGAGGTCTGTCCCAGAGGAGGCTACTGGCCCTGCGGGAGAAATAGGGAGCAGTGAGGTCCCCAGGGCTGCGGGATCCTGGGTGGGGGTCAGGGCACCGCATGCCCCAGCCCCATGCTGGGGAAGGGGGTCAGGGCAGTGTCCCACTGCCTGGAGTCTCCCAGGACAGACTGGTTTTGCCAGGCCCATGGCACTACCCAGAGATGCTGCCGCTGAGCTGAACTTGCAAGGCTGGATGTATGGCAGTCACCAGCCCTGGCAGCATGAGGTTGGCGCCCAAGTCCTGCCCGTTCCCACAGCAAAAGACTTGCTTTTGCCCAGCTCCCTCAAGCAGAGCCACTAAAGCTCCCAGGGGAATGGGGCTCCCGACACCGGATCTCCGGCCACCATATGACACGTGCAGGAGGCTCAAACCAGCCAGGCACCAGGAGCCCTGGGCACTGCTGCCTTGGGGAGAAGCCCCCCTGCCCAGGCTGCAGGGACCCAAATGCCAGCCCAGGAGCAGCCGGGGCCTGCAAAGGGCTGGGGCCGGCTACACTTGCAGGGAGGCTGCGTTGGCCACAGCTGGCCCAAGCAGCTCCTGGGCCCGCATCTTGGGCGCCAACCCGCCAGCCTCAACCCCGGAGAGCCGCTCCGACATCCTGGTCAGCAGCACAGGTACCACAAAGACCCGCTGCCTCCAAGCGACCCCCAAGGGGTCCCATCAGCTCTGCCTCAGTTTCCCCACGTGGCCATCACCCTCTGGTGGTTTAGGGGATGGGAGGGGGCACATAGGCAGTTCCCCAAAAGAGACCGTGTCTGACAGCCTTTCCCCAGCAGCCACAGCTCTGGGCTGGCTATAGCGGTCTGCGCCAGTACACGGGGACAAGGATGCTCCCAGGCGCAGGCGGCAGAGCCCCCCCAGGCCCCACAGGTGGCAGAGCCCTGTGACGGACCTGAAACGCTGCAACTGCTGAATGCAACGTGAACAGCCTTTACAAAGCCAACGCAGAAGAACATACTGATTAAACACCAGCGCTCCCAAAGCGCCTCCTTTGCCAGGGTAGCCACAGCCCTGCTAAGCCAGGCAGCCAGGAGAACCCAAAACAGCAGTGTTGTTTTTTTGTTGCTTCTTTCCTTCATTCGGTTTTGATCTGTCCCCAGAGGGACTCTGAACTGCACAGCTCACTTCTGCTTCTGGGCACTTCCACATTCGGAGGTTTATGCCCTGCTGTGTTTAAATGCTACCCGTGGGAACAGTCCGGGGAGTCCAGTTTTGGGAAAAGCTTTTCGCATGACTACAGCGCTACCCTGGGCCTGGCCTTGGCCCTTAGCCTAGGAGCATCTGGTGGCTGCTTCACCACAGAACAAAGCTCTGAAATTCATGGCACCAGATTTTCCCACCTTTTTAGCTATGCAGTAACAAAACTTTACGCTACTCAGTGAAGCAGGGGAAGCCCAGCTCTGCCAGGGCCGAGTTGCCTGGAGAAACATACCACCAAGAAAAGGCAGGTACAAGAAATTATATTCTCCTTTTATTTACCTATGACCATGACAATGTATTTTTGCTAGCTGCAGAGATGCTTTGCACTGTAAACTCGGCACCTGGACGCAGACAGTCTGTCCAGCTCTGCCAGGTTCAGCAATGACCCACGTTTCTCGAAACACAATATTGTTATCCAGAGTAGTGAGAGCGTCTGATTCACAGAGCTGCTTATCTACATCATCAAACCCTCTGTCGTCAGGGAATGATATATACACCCAGGCTCCCCCAGCGGCCTGCTGCTAGGGAACACGCCGTTTGTCAGATAAAACCTGCAAACTTAGAAAATTTTGTACGCACTCTTAAAAGAGAAGGCATCCGTTCCACTGGAGAACTCCGCCGAGACACACACAAATATTGCACTTGTAACTTCAGAACAGGAAAGGACACAAGGATTTCCTATTACACAGCAACGCGTCCAGCTATAGGAGGTCAATAAATAAACCAGGAGGTGAGGGATGGGAGCAGGAAGCGGTTTGATTGCACGCCTCCAGCGCAGGGGAACGAACCGGCTTTCGCTGCTCCCAGGGGTGACTCGCCACAAGCGAAGGAAGCGCCGGGCTCCTGTGAGATAGCTGCGTCGGGGGAGCACGGGAGCCAGGCCAGCGAGGCTCTCGCCGGCATGGGGAAGCACAGCAGCATCGGTGACGTGGGACTGGTCCAGTTTAGAAGTCTTATATCCAGGGAAGCTGTTCACGGTGGTGCTGTTTCCCCCTTGCCGGAGCCCTGCACAAAAGTCCTCCTCTTCCTCACCGAGTCAGGATCACTCGTCGCCTTCCAGGAACGCTCACAGTTCAGGCATGTGCTTCACAGTAGTCTCATGGGAGCTTCCCTCCTGGCTAAAATCCATGCCAGAGTCACCCCAAAGGCGTCGTACCAGCGATGGTGAGATGGGGGCGATGGAGCAGTACCAGACTGCTTGGCTTGTTGGTCCCTTCGGCCTCACGCTCGGTGCCCTCGCCTGCCTCATGCCCAGCTGCTGCAGGAATATGGCTTGGGGGCATGAACACCAGCAGGAAGGCACACTCCCGCCATCCCCCGGGGAAGGCCACCACCACCCGATTTCATGTAAACACACAGTTCCCACTCCGCTCCGAGAGAGACCTTGGGTCTACAGTGGGGAGCTGGCTTTCTTCTGGTTAATTATGTCTAAGTACAAGTCAGAGCGGAGGAAGCGGGGGTAGGAGTCCTTCTCCATGAGCCCATAAATTCTCTTCTGAGCAAGGTCGAAGCAGCTGCGGGTGATGTTCTGCAGGTTCTCCTTGGTGTGCTCTCGTGTGTAGGAGTCCAGGTTCACCTGCAGGGAACAGAGACCAGCCCTGGTGAGTGGCTCCCTGAGCAGCCACCGAGGCACGCGCTCCTGCTGGCAGCGACAGGAGATGCCAGCAAAGGCGCCACAAGGCTTAGCCGGCCCAACACACTCTCAGCAACACGCGCGCATATGACCAGGCCTGCTGGCATACAGCCACCACGCAAACTCAGCAGTGTTCGAGAGCCCAGCATCCTTGCTGTGCCCCCACCGAGCACCGAGGGACCCCACGGCAGCTAAGGCCTGGCAGCCGCGCTCCCCTCCTTGCAGGACTGGATACTGGATAGCGATATACTCCGCAAAGATCTTCTTGGCTTTGGATACCATCTTGGATTGCGATTTGATCTTTTTGTACTCCTCGCACGCCAGCCAGAACTCCAGGTTCTCCTCGCTGAACTCGGTGCGCAGGAAGGCCCTGAAGGCTGCTAGCCCATCTGCGGGGACAGACACTCGTCTCTGCTCCCAGCTCGCAGGCAGTGAACAGCCTCAGCCAAGCCACCCCGGAAAGCTGCAACCTAAAATACCTCCTCCCTGCACCTTCCCCTAAAAGTTCCTCGTGAGCCCGTGGCTGACCTTGCCTCCTCGAGCAAAGGCCAGCAGCCAGGCAGGAGCATCACAGATGCAGGAAAAGGGCAGCCTCGTCTCTAGCCCTGTTGTTCCCCCAAAATCCCAGAAGGGATTAAGATAGGAAATCCTAGTTTTATTCACGCCCATGTCCAGCTATTCCCCTGCTGGAAAACAGAAGAGGAAGAAAGCGGTAAACACTTACATTTGTGAAGTAGCAGTTTCTCTAGAGACTCCCCCCACTTGAGAGCTTCCTCGGGAGTCGGCCTGCGAGAGAAGGGGGGCACGTTGGCAGGGCAAAACAGCGAAAGCCGCTCGCGGCAGCAGACAAGGGCGTTCGCTGCCTGCCACTAGAAAGCACCAGATGCCGCGAAACCGAAAAATCAAAGCATCGCCATCTGCCCCGGCTGGCCTGGCCGCGGCTCAGAGAGCGGCACTAACGTTTCCAGGGCACCTGCAGGCTGCAAAGCCAGGCTTGGCGCCCGTTACAGCCCACAGGCAGCACCGCGCCGGCTCTCCTGGAAGGGACCCTCTGCCTTTAGACTAGCAGGAGGAAAATTCGATATAAACTGGGCTCTGCAAGCAGTCGTGCCATTTGGGGCAACTGAGCAAGAAGCAGGAAACCCCCGAGCAATGCTCATGAGTCGAGCCAGAAGTTAAAGTGCCCAGGTCGAGCTGGACGGACCCGGGAACTGCGTGCGGAGCCCAGGGCCACACGTCAGGGCCAGCCCTGCCGAGGACTCGCCGTTAAGTGCAGCCTCCCCGCTGCAAGCGAGAGCTCCTGGCCTGGCAAGCGGAGGGACACGAGGGCCACAAGGCGCTGCTCGACAGCAGGGACCCTCTCCACCCCGTTTCAGCAACGGGATAAGCCACCGAGTATAAGAGCGGCGGCAGGGCAGGCTGCAAGGGGAGGGTTTGTCTCCATCAGCTGGAGCATCTCCAGAGCAAAAGTGGTTTTTCAAACCATCCTATAGTGAGTTGAAGGTTTTACGTACAGGCAGTGCGGGAAAGCAGCCATGAGGGAAATTTCCAGCCCGAGCCGCTGTTGTCCCAAAGGCTGTGCTGCCTCCCAGACGCAAGGCACCGGGCAGGGAGCCTCCCACCCACCTCTGGAGAAATTATTCAGAGCACAGCTGCTTACAAAAGCTTCTCCAGATGGACGAGCTGTTGGCCCACAGCCCCCAGGGCAACCCCAGCCTCTCCCCGCTTGCCAGGAGGCGACGCTCGGCACGGCCGGGCTCATGCCCGAGCCCCCGGGGCCAGCGAGCTGCCCGGTGCCCGGCCCCGGGGCCCCGGCTACCCGCACCTCCCGCCTGCGCTACCTACTTGAGCGACTTGAGCACTTTGTCCAGTTTGCTGCTCGGGTTGGCTCCCGGAGATTCGTTTCGCCGCCGGAAAATCCCCAGACGGTTCTTCATGTCTTTGGCTCTAGGGGGAAGAGCAAGGTTTAGTAGGCAGGCAAGGCGCCCGGCGGCAGGCGGGGGCTGCGGAGAGGGCCCCACGGCGGC